TGTAACTATCGAACTTCAGCTCTAGAACTGAATTTTTTGTTTTGTAACTGTCAGACTTCAGCTCTAGAGCTGATGTTTTTGTTTGTGAGTGGCGAACTTCAGCCTTCTTAGAGTTGAAGTTTTAACTAATTTTTTTGATAATATCCTGTAGTGAAATTTTCACTATAGGTATAAATTTTTTCTATGTTATATATATAGAAAAACTAGTTGATCTATTCCCCCTATTTATGAATATGCAGTGGAAGTTGAAACTAGATGTGCTTCAATTGACAGAACTCAAAAACTCTCTGATGATGCTGAATTGAATGAAGGTAGAGTTGAGAAAAACCTTATAGAGAATACTCCAATACTCCTTGACGTTGGTGCACAATTGAATGAAGCTGGAACTGCTGATATCGACAAAGGCGTGCAGCCTGGGGAAACCACAACGGAACACAAACATCAACATATTTTATAGATTATGAATTTATTACATTTGATCAAAGTATATTTTTTACAATTTGAAATTTTACATACTTTATTTTCTTTGTTATGTTTTTGAATGATTTTTCAGAAAGACTCGAGGCAGCTCAAAAAGAATTTGGTGAGCTTATGCAGCTACATCAAAAAGGAGAAATACATTTATTCACACATGTTGGCTCACAGACAAGTGTTAAGTGTGTTGGTATTATTTTATAAAATTTAGTCATTATTATTTATTTTTGTTTTTTGAAAGAAGATACAAGCATAACTGGAGGTAAAGGAAGTGGATCTGTTGGAATGCAAATACCATCTATGTCTCAACACTTATACCATGCAATTTTCTACAATTCGATTACAAGCTGTTTTTTGCCTAATGTGTTTTTGTATCAGTTTTATTTATTTTTATATTTTCCTTGCTTTTCATATCTCATTTGATGCATCGTAACTTCTTCCAAATCTTAAGAGAAGGAAGATTTCCAGTTCTCCTATGTGTGACACCAGTGATATCCCCAGCTTCAATTTATGTTCATTTTCACTTGGTAGTACACAAGGGACTGATTCATAATGTAATTCTGCTGTTGTTGTTGTTTGTGAAGAGAGACAAGAACGTCGTGAACAACAGAGAGTTGGTCAAGTATCTACCACAATGGTTGTGGTTTTTCCCCCTGCTCTTGAACAACAATAGTTAGTTGTGACAGAACAGCAGGAAGAGCAAGCAAAAGGAAAACCAGATAAAAAAGGGAAATGGATTTGTATGGAGAATATTTGGTTAAGATCTCCTTGCGTTATTCCTAAACAAAAGCAAACGGGACAAGATTGGAAAGTAGGAAAGAATACACGAAGGTGTCCCTTCCATTATGTTAATCAAGACAGTGGATTGATGCAAAGATTTACAGAGTGGTAGGAGATGGATGCCAGTGAATATGATTCCAATCCATTCAGATTAGCTGGAGTTGATATTGCAAAATCATTCTTTACCGAGCTTATGGATCCTAACTGTAATCTTGCGGATGAAGTAAGTTATTAAGTTTGTTTTTTGAATTGGTTTTCAACTATATTTCTCAAAACTTCAGCTTATTTTTTATAGTATTGTTTTTGTACTGTAATTTGGAAAACTTCATCTTTATTCACAGTAAACTGCTAAAGTTTTTTTAGCTTATTTGCTAAATCTTCAGCCTAACTGTACTGAAGTTTTTGACATGCATTCTCTAGTTTTTTTCAAAACTTTTAAATCAAACATGCTGAAGTTTTATAGATTATTTTTTAATACTTCAAACTGAATATGCTTAAGTTTTTGTCATGTTGTTTGTAGTTTTGTAATGCGTTTTTTCTAAACATCATAGTTATGCGTGCCAAAGTTTTTATTTCACATGTTATCATTTGTTGTTGTTCATTTGAATCATATGGATGTGGGCATATATTACTTGCGCAAAAAATATTGCTATCACCTTCCAGGTTATCCAAAATCAAGATGTGCAATAACAGATTTAATTTTTTGATCAGTATATGACTAAGCTGGCTGATATTCATCCTTCAAAAGAACATATGGAGAAAATTTGAAAAAGGAAGGAAAAGAGAATGGAGTATCAAAAAAAGAGCAAATCAAAGAGAAAAAGGATATCCAAACAACAGGCTGAAGAAGAAGAAGAAGAAGAAGCGGTTATTAAGCCACTTATGGACTTTAGTTGGTTTGAGGAAGAATCAATGAATGAAAAGGTGGACAACTACGTAAAAGGCGTTGACCTTTCATGTGGTATCTCATGGGCATCTGCCAGAAAAGTATTCTTTCCATTTCGACTTAAACCAAGGACGGGCCAGATATCTAGGCACTACTTTTTTAGAATTCTGGACTTTAAAGATAAAACTATATATGTGTATGATTCCATGGGCAGTGTAATGATCGTGCGCTTGAACATGTAAAAAATTATTCCCGGTTGATCCCACAATATCTCAAATGCTTGGAATCCGGGGCACACAATAAATTTTATGGGAAAAGTCCTGTGGAAAATTTCTAAATAAGTGGATGGAGACACCGCTGCAGGATAACAAGTATGTGTTTCACATATGTTTTACCATGCATCATATGTTTCTTATTTTTGCCCTTGTGTTAACTATTCTTCAATTTCTTTTTCATATTCTTTTTGTAGTATTGATTGTGGTGTATTTGCTCTTAAGTTTATGGATATGCGGTTGAAGAAAGAAGATGTCATCAAGTTCGATCAAAGTCAGACATTGACATTCATGAGAGAATTGGCTGTCAATCTCTGGTCTCATGGAAAGTGGAAACAAGATAGCAGCTATGAAACTCCAGAAGAACAACAAGGACAAAATTATGGAGATTTCGAAGAGACTATGTGTGAATTTTTTGATTAGAGGATTGGGTGCACAAAATTTGGACTTTGTGAATATACATTAATTATTTTTTAGTTGATTTTTGTTCAGACAAATATGTTTGTGTCTTTTATCATGAATTTTAAGTACATTTTTGTTGAAAAAACTTAAGCATGAAGTAAATGACTTCTACTTTTTTAAGCTGAAGTTTTGATTAAAAGTCATAACAAAAGTGTCGATTGTAGGACAAAAACTTCAACTTTATCAAGTGCTGAAGTTTTTAGAAATACACTAAAAAACTTCAGCAGTTTGTGTTGAAGTTTTTTGAAAAAGCTATACGAAAAACACTATTGAATCTAGGACAAAAATTTTAGCTTATCAAATACTGATGTTTTTAGAAATGTGCTGAAGTTTTTTGAAAAAGCTTTACGACAAAACTATTGAATCCAGGACAAAAACTTCAGCTTATCAAGTGCTGAAGTTTTTAGAGATACATTAAAAACTTCAGCACATTGGGCTGAAGTTTTTTGAAAAAGCTTTACGACAAAACTATTGAATCCATGACAAAAACTTCAGCGTAACAAGTGCTGAAGTTTTTAGAAATACACTAAAAAACTTCAACACATTGGGCTGAAGTTTTTTGAAAAAACTTTACGACAGAAACTTCAGCATGTTTTGGTATTTTTTTAACTTGATACTTATCTTTTTTGCATTTACTAGCTACTTTTTGTCATTTATCACTTATATCACCTACTTCATCTTTCATTTAAATTTCTCTGACCATATAATAAATGAAGTTTTTTTTTACTACAGAAAAATTGTGGCCTTATTTTTTACTATTTTTGTTATTACATTTACCCACTATTAGCATTTACCACTTATTTGTTTTACCACCTACTTATCTTGTTACATTCAATTTCTCTGGAACAAAAAATAGTTAACAATCTCTTCAGCATTTATAGATATTAAATTGATATCTTTTACAATTATAGATATTAAATTGATTAGGTACATTCTTTTGTTATATTAACAATCTCTTTACTTGAAAATTTCATAGTCATCCATAGACTTCCATCATATTTCTTTAAATTTAAATTCGAAGAAAAACAAGAAAATGTTGGCAAACACATGCTTATTGAGTGTAGAAGGGAGTTCATGGGAAGCAAAGATAATGAAGGAAAAGTCAAAATACTTCATATGTAAAGGAGGGTGGCTAGATAAAAACTTGAGCTCCAGGACAATTTGCTCTTTTTATTAGTTGATAAATCTAACTTTTAGGAAAAAGAGCAAATTTCCTGGAGCTCGAGTTTTTGATGTAGCCACTCTCCGTCACATATGAAGTATTTTGGACTTCTCCTTCATTATCTTTGCTTCCCATGAATTCCCAGCTGCACACCAATAAGCATGTCTTTGCCAATATTTTCTTGTTTTTTTCTTATAAAAGAAGATGGGAGTTGCTAAAAAAATCATTGTAGTAAACTTGGTCAGCATGTGTCTGACAGAAAACACTTTGGTGAAATTAATTTGGTGAAATGGAGCATGGCTGTCTTATAGCTCATAATGCTGCAGCGAATTTTGTCATGACCCTAAACCCAGACCCGGTCGTGATGGCGCCTCTCGTGAAGACAAGGCGATCCGACACTTCCCATTTCCAATTAATAACAATTAAGCAGTAAAAACAGTCTAAACATGAATAAATAAACCAAAGTATAAGTAAATAATAGTATAATATGCGGAATATAGCCCAAACACAGCCCGATACCGGGGTGTCACTATTCATGAGCATCTAAACAAAGCCGGAATACTCGGAAGACTACAAAGTTTAATACAAAAACTAAAGACATGAAGAAATAAGATAGGGAGGAGCTCCGGGCTGCGAACTCCAACAGCTACCTAAAGACTCCTCGGATCCGCGTCACTACAAGAAATTGGATAATTAGTGGCGGCATTTAGCAGCAACCCTATTAAGTTGCTACAAAATGTATATTATTAGTAACGACTTTAAAAGTCACCACAATTTGAATATATTTAGCAACGATTATTTATGGGTCGCCTCTAAAGTGGCTGAAATTTTCACTCCCGCTAAAAATAAAATTTTGGCTCCATATTTATTGTGGCGACTTTTGTGAAGTCGCCGCTAAATATGAATTGCAGCGACTGGGTCGCCCCTATTCCCTTTTAAAAAAACAAAAGAAAATACTCAATAGATGAAATACTAAAATCGGTCCAGAGACAGAAGTAGTGAAACTCTCATCTCGAACACATCGACTCGATGTGAAGAACATAGAAGCGCCCAAAATTGGTCCTCTATAGATAGAAATCCCAAATTGAAACCCAAAATCGGTCCTATCTAGATAGAAATCTTTCCAGATAATAGAAATCCCAAATCGAAATCCCTCAAAAATCTCACCCAAATCGAAATCCCTCAAATCAGAATGTGAATTCGATTGGGTGTTTATGATACTTGCCGGAAACTTCATTTTGAAGCTAAATCTCAAGATTGGAAGCTGGTTTGACGAGTTTTGGTTTGAATTTGTGAAACGAGTGTGCGAAGAAGAAGACCACTAGGGTCTTTCTATTCAAAGCTTCTTCAACTTCAAGTATTCTAGAACTTGTACACTACTGCGGAAGTCGGCAAAGGGCAAGAAAATATAGAAGTGAAATTTTAACAACTTAGGTATGTTAAAATCCCTAATCTTTTAGACTCGGCATTTAGAACTGTACAACTCCTTGCTAAGCTTTAGTTGGGTCGTATTTTAAACTAGTTCAGTTTGTACCCCATAGAATGCTTCTTCCTTGTCGTGTTCGAGATTTAAAGGAATAGTATGAATCTGATTGAATATTGACCAATTGGACTACATGTAGCAAATCTGTAGCTTAGCTCCTAAAGCTATTGGCGTGCAGACAAAAGGCAAACATAAGACGAGATTGTGGGCAAGGGCAAGGAGGTGGAGGGGTGAGAGAATGCATTATGTTCCTACTTGCAACTGCGACTAACCTTTTGTAGTGCTAAATTGTCTGAGGGAATAGGAAAGTTATATTTAGTGCTTGATTTGAGAAAACGTACTTGCTTTAAGTTCGTTTAATCTCAAAATATCATCATATAGATCTGTTAATGAGACTAGATAAATTTCAAATTATCAGTTTCCTATTTGATGTCATCTGCTTCCTTAATATTGCATCTTACTGTGCTTATGCCTTGCAGGAATGTGTTCAAGTCAAAAATCATTGTCTGTCTCACAGTGCAGTTACTAGGTTCCCGACAGACTTTGATATTTCTCCACATAAGCCCTATAATTTCGCAAGGCTCCACTTGTGGCGTAAGGATCAGGGAGGCAGCTTATTTCTAATTGTTCAGGCAAGCAATTTGTATGGTTCAAGCAGGTACAATGTATTTAATTTGCCTGGCCTTTATTTGAATGATATACATTGGTTGGATTTGTAGGTTTAATGATTTTAGTTGTTAATTTTGTTGTTGTTGCTGTTTTCTTGAATTTGTAACCCATCGCGTGCTTCTTCCTTGTCGTGTTCAGTTTGTACCCCATAGCGTGCTGCTTCCTTGTCGTGTTCGAGATTTAAAGGAATAGTGTGAATCTGATTGAATATTGTTAATTCCCTAAAGACTTGACAGTGATCAAAGAAGCAGAAGATCGCCAGAAATGCTTTTTCCTCGTAATTTCTCTGCCCGTTTAACTATCTTCTAATCTCGTCCAGCGAAAGAAATTTTGTTATATGATTTCTGAATACTATTTGTTGAAGTTGTCAATCTTGCATATTACCTGGCAGTAACTTAATCAACACAATACTAAGGTCATGTATTTTTGTAGTTTCATAGAGTGGTACGTACCCTGGTTTGAACTTGTTCTTCATTGCACACAATTCGTATAAGTAATTTTGGAATAGACTACTTCCTTCTTGTTTGAATAATGTGTTTTGTGACTGCTTGTCTGAATACCCCTGGTAAATGTTAATTATTATATATATTTTGATTACTATAATTCTTCCCCTTTTAATTAGTAAATTAATTTATTTATTTTCTTAATATATATATATGATGGATAAAAGTTGGTTGAATATTAGGAATAGAGTCGATAAAAGATATAGAGATGGCGTAGACAACTTTCTTAATTGGGCATTCAGTCAACAAACGGTGAACACTATGATTCGATGTCCTTTTAAAGGGTGTATGAATACCGTGTTCAAGCTAAGGGATGGTGTAAGAGGAGATTTATTGAAGAAGGATTTTTGGGATTCTTATAAAGTGTGGGACTTGCATGGAGAAGTGTTAGTTAGAGTTGAAACTTCTAATACTGCAGTTAGTAATGAACCAGAAGATGATAGCATTGAAGAGGAAAATATTACTGAAATGATTCACGATGCTTGTGGATATACGAATGTGGAGGATAATAATAATAATAATTCAGAGGACAATGAAGAGCCAAATGTACATGCAATAAAGTTCTACAAATTGTTAGAAGATGCTGAGACAGAACTTTATCCTGGTTGTAAAAAAGTCTCGAATTTATCTTTTGTTGTTAAACTACTTCACTTGAAGTGTCTTAACCATTGGAACAACAAATCGATGGATGCATTATTGAGCTTCTTCAAAGAAGTTCTTCCCGAGGGGTCATTTGTGCCTAATTCTTTCTATGAAGCAAAGAAAAGTTCTTTGTGACCACGGCTTAAGGTACACCAAAATAGATGCATGTCGAAATGATTGTATTTTATATTGGCGTGATTATGCCGATGTCCAAGCATGTCATAAGTGTGGTAAGTCTAGATGGAAGTCCGAAGAACATGGAGGCAAGAATGTAGCTCATAAAATCTTGCGGCATTTTCCAATCAAACCAAGGCTTCAAAGATTGTACATGGCAAGAGAAATAGCTAAAACCATTAGGTGGCACAAGGAGGGAAATGTTGATGATGGTGTCTTGCGACATCCATCTGACTCAATAACAAGGAAATCTTTTGATGCACGACATCCCACCTTTTCAGCTGAGTTAAGAAATATTTGATTAGTTTTGGAAGAGTTGAGAGAATTATGGGTCGGAGTGGAGACTTATGATGCACACTCAAAATCTAATTTTCTGATGCATGTGGCTAGCATGTGGACGATCAACGACTTTTCTGCATATGAAAATCTTTCAGGATGGTCAACCAAAGGCAAGCTTGCATGCCCTTCTTGCCATAAAGATACACAATCGACTTCCTTACGTAGTAAGTTGTATTATATGGGTCATCGTCGCTTCCTTCCCATGGACCATCCATGGCGAAGAAGTAGGACGTTATTTGATGGGAAAGTTGAAATGGGAGTTGCACCTAACCCTTTAACAGGTGATGTAGCACTTATGCAATGACAAGCTTTGGGTAATGTGAGTTTTGATAAAGTACAAAAGAGAAAGCGTGATGTTCATAGCAATGCTTACAATTGGAAGAAGAAAAGTATTTTTTTCCAATTGCCTTATTAGAAGAGTCTTATGTTACGACATAACCTTGATGTGATGCACATCGAAAGAAATATGTCCAATAGAAATTTTATCAACTGTCATGAATATGGTTGGAAAGAAAAAAGACACATTGAAAAGTAGATATGACTTGATGGATCTTGGAATCGGATAAAGGTTGCATCCTATTGAGGATGAGAATAATATTTTGTTACCGGCAGCATGCTATGCATTGTCCGCAGAAGAGAAGCTGAAGGTGTGCAGTTTCTTAGCTAATCTGAAGGTTCCTGATGCATTTTCCTCAAACATTTCAAGGTGTGTCAACGTACAGGAGAAAAAGATACATGGACTGAAATGTCACGATCATCATGTATTGTTGCTAGACATTTTTGCAGTAGCTATATGTGGTTTGTTACCCAAGGAAGTGTGTGATCCAATTATAGCCTTAGGAAACTTTTTCAAGAATATATACTCTAAGTGCTTGACGATTGAAGATCTTGATATCCTAGAGGCAGAAATTCCTATTATTTTGACCAAACTTCAACTTGTTTTCCCTCCGGCTTTCTTTGATGTCACGGTTCATTTGCCAATTCACTTGCCAAGTGAGGCAAAGCTTGGTGGACCAGCTCAATATCGGAATATGTATCCTATTGAGAGGTAATTTATTGTTTAATAATTTCGATGTTATAGTTTTAGAATGATGTTACATGATGTTACATTTAGGATATTGAATATAATGTTACACTTATTGTCAGGATATATTTGAAGTTTGCAGCGGGTTGCGAGAGCATAGGTTTCAGGCCTTTGTAATTAGCACTATGCAAAGTCTTTTTAGAGCATGGAAAGCTCGACTCAGCATTCTGTACTCTAAGTACTGTACTAATGAAGAAATATTATCTCATCAACTTGAAGATGTTGAGCTTGAGGACTGGAAATACCTAATACAATATTTTGGAAGTCCGGAATTTAAGGTATTAACTTAATACCTGAAAATTGTCTCTTTGAAAGATGATTTATTAATCTGTTTACTTACAGGTTGTAAGTGAGAGGAACAAAAGAAATAGAGAAAAGCAAATAACTAAGCATACTTGTGGTACAAAGTCTTTTGCAGAAGTAGAGGAATCTACAGTAAAAATATATTTAGTCCCCTACTATCACATATGCTTCTTTGTTATTTATATATTTATATATTTGCTTATATATTTTTTTCCGTAACTATATTGTAGAGAAATCCTATTACTGGAGAATTGAACACACCAGATAAAGTTTGGGAAATCCAACATACACACAAGGATGATAGAGGCGAAGTGGTGTGGTTAGATTCACAATCCCAACAAATTCATGTAATTATCTAAAAACACTTATAAAGTTCTTTGTTCTGTAATTTTCATTTAATATGTTTTATTATGTTTTGATTTAAATAATTATGCATAAATGCAGGGTTGACTCCAGGAAGTTGTCGCTCAGCAACAATCTAAGGGTATCGAGCATCCCATGACTAAAGATGAGATTTTATCCTCCGTTGTTGGTGAGAGAACATGCTATGTTTGTGGAAAACGATACCGAAAGAAGCCTCCTAAAAAGAGTAACATTCAGCAGGCAAACATAGAGGCCAACGTGTCTTCTGCTATTGATATTGTACGTCAAGAGATGCAAGCCGAGATGAATAGGATGTTGCAAGAAGAACGTGAAAAAATCGTTGTTGCGTTGCGAAGAAATATGGAAATTGAGTTGTAAAGGAAGTTGGCAGAGGAGCGTCAACATGCAAATGCAGAAACAGACAAGAGGATCTCTCTAGAAGTGGAGAAGAAGATGCATGAACAATTTGCTAGTTTCTTGACCAGAATGCAACAGCAACAGGTACTTGCTCCGCTCCTTCTTAACAATTCTTCTTCCTTCTTAACATTTCTTCTTCTTTCCTTCTGTAGTGACTTCATGTTTAGGGGTTTAGTAACCACCAGGCATTGTGGTGTTCTCTATGATGGTAACCTTCTGATTTTGCTGTTGGACTGCCTTGGCTTCACATTGATTGTTGCCCTTTTGAGGTTGCCACTGAACTTTCTTTTTGGATATATTTCTTCTGTTAACTTGTTGAAAAGGTTGTTCATTTGCTTCAATATAGATATGTTCATTTGCCCTTCTGTTAACAGTATGTTCTGTTCTTCCTGGATTCCTGTACTTTATTTTGTACCATCTTGGTACCTTTGTGAATAATAACTTTACTGATTCAAACAAAAAAAGATAGACTTTACAACTAGGTGATACTTTCCTTTTATTCTTGTTAAAGTGCCTGGGGAGTGGGGGAAAGGGGTCTACCATTGCTTCTGCACTTAGTGATTGGTAATCATCTCTCTTTACTTAGCAGTCTCTCATATGTTATTTTCTTGAGTTTTGACAGTTGTTTCCTATCATCTTGGCTCTGCCCTAGTTTTTGAGGTAGGTGGTCCAAAAATTTGTAATCAAATCAAGCTCAGCTAATCTGAAATCATACTCTGCCTAATCATCTGAAACATTCTTATCACTACAAGAAAATAGAACTACGACAACATTTTTTAAATGTCATTTTGAGTCATATAAATGTCACAAAATTATTTACCGACATTTATTTGACATTTATAGCAAACGTCGTAAATTTTGATGTCGGGAATTTTCCAACATTTACATTAATGTTGGCAAATAAATAGTGACATTTATATACTGATTTTTTATCAAATGCCACCATCTTGAGTACAAAATCAATATAGTTGCAACATACAAAGAAATGTCGGCAATCTTACTCATCCTTTCTACATAAACATGCAAAATATCGGTAAATCTTCTTTTGTCAATAACTTTTTTTCTTTTTATACTTGAAGGAAGTTAATAATTTTTATCTACTAATAAACACAATTATTCATATAATTTTAATACTACAATGTCATACCCAACAAAAGAATTTTGAATTAAAACAAAAGAGATACGTAAACATTATTTTTGAAAATCTTACAGTACCACTCAGTAGTGGTTCTCAAAAATATAAAGTTTTTCCCCAGTATATATTCAGAACAAGCTATGCTAACTATAAATAGACTCCAATGTTGAGCACAAAAATATTAATTCACAACAGTTCTTTGCACAAGAGTTTCTCTTTTTGACTCCAATTTTTGCATATCAACCTGACATAAAACCAAACAATAAAAGGAAAAATTAGAAGTTAAAAATACAAGGTAACAAAAACCAGTTAGCAAGCCACTTCTATAGAGTTATATGGCATATGATATCACATTCAAAGTTAGAATCCGTGCAACTTAAAAACCTTCCATCATACAAACAAAAATAAATAATACTTACTTATCACAAAGAAAAATAAAACAATAAGAAACTTCAAGTCTTCGAATACGAGCCACAATATAAATATGTACCATAAAGTAAGAAAATGCAAAATGTGCTTGAACACATCTACATCTGTTTAGTTAACATACAGAATGGCAAGTTCTCTCTTTCCTTTTCCTCTCCTTAATCCCTTCTAACTAAGCATGACATTTCAATTTTAGGATTAAATGATGTTTGTATAATCATTTGGATAGACTGATACCCTTTTCGCAAGGAAACCACAAGAATTTTCTTTATCTCAAAGATATTGTGAAGAGTATAACCTTTGACGAGCTGGCAGACCTTGAGTATGCTCCTAACACAACTCATTTTCAATACTTGCATGGTAATCTTGTTAGTATTGCATTTTAGGTCTAATCAACCAAGCAAGCGTCTAGAGGTATTGATAGGTAATACAAACTAGATATTTACTTATCTCAAATTAAGGAGATGATCCTCTTGAGTGACCAACGGATGAGAACCACAATTAACTAGAATTCAGAGGCCATATTTTGTTAATGACCATGTTATAGAGGTCATTTTTCTCCTACAAATACATAGTACTATCCATATTCTTACTCATGAAAAGCAGAATGTCATCTCCTGTGAGGAATCTAACATTATAAGTCGATGAGGTTAGTTATTTGGTGCTACAGTTTCAAGTTTTTCTTTTGTCTGGTGAACTGATCTCGAGTATTTATGTGTCAAGGAAAGATAATCTTGCTTCTTTTCTACTAAAGTTTTGGCATTATAGGTGTAAATAAGTTATTCTATCATACTAAAAGATTGTTCTATCGGACTTAAATGTAATCTTACCCAACTAAATGCAAAAGCGTGATATTTCCTATAAGGCATAGTTCAGTTTCTGACTTATCCAAGCAAGATTCAATTTCAGGTACCTTTCTACACTCATTCTACCACTATTAGCACCTATAAACCTAATCAAGTAATTAAATAATTTACATGGACTAAGAAGGAGCGTAACAAGAATGAACTATAACAACATGACAGTAAAACAATCATATTAAAGATGTAATAATAGACAAAATCCAATAAAAGAAAGAATCAGCCAAAGAAAATAAAAACTGCAAATACACAATGACATTAAAAGAAAAAAGGTGCAGATACTAAAGATACTAAAGCTTTATCCCCAAAATGATTCAATTTCATCACTCCACAATAGCCATGTATCTTGAACATAAATAGAGAACTGTTAAATTCATAAATAACCCTATCTACCACTTCCCAAGCACAACAAACTTCAGTATATCATATTAAACGAAAGGGCAACTATTTTAAAGGCAGGAAATACAATCCAGTGAACATAATAGAACAAAAATCACAAAAAGAAAATACTTAACACACCTTAATAACCTTGATCAAAATTCTGAGAAGTATCAGTAGTATCTGTCATGTTTAGAGTTTTAGAACAATCTAAGACCAACCTGGTTGTTTCCCCATTCAATTTTCGGCGTCACACTAAGATTTGCTTATCGCTAATCGAGTGCGACTTTGAATTTCGAGAATGTGATTTGCAATCAATCAATTTTTTGAATATGAGATGACGGCATCAATTATTTGGGTATGAGGAAAGGGGAAGATTGGAGGCACGGTTTTAAGAGGAAAGATTGGGGGTAGGTTTTTTAATAATAATAGTTGACCAGGCCTATATATTTTTAGCTTAATAAGTATAAATGTAAGTTTCCTTCATTAGATATAAATGTCAGTAAATAACGACTCATATAGCTACATTTCATTTAAAAGTCGCAATTACTGTGTCATTTTTAATCAAATGTCATTGAATTTACCGCATTTTTTATGAAGTGTCACAAAATGATTCTTTTTCCGACATTTTTTCCACATGTCACTGATTAAATGTGGCCGTAGATCTCATTTCTTGTAGTGTATTTTTGATTCACCAACTGTTCGTTACTTTTCACCATGTGTTTGGTTGTGTTTACCAACGGGGTCCAAGGTTTAAAGCTTCATTCATGAACTTGAATGATTAACTGAACATAGGGCATTCAAGAAATAAGAAACATTTCCTTCCCATATTAAATAGCTAATCATTTAATATCGGATGCTGAAGTAAAATGCAAGCTTCAAATCTTGAAAATGTTACATCAAGAGCATGATTTTTTATTTATTTAAGATAAGTCATACGTAGTTGTGACGAGAATACATGGAATATGTTTCAACATGTGGTATACTAATGGAACATTGATATGTCAAATGTGAATATTTCAAATTGGTTAGGCGTCTAGCTAGGTAATTTAGAATGGAATTAATTGGCTTCACTATTCAGTATTCTCTTTGTATTGAACTTGTGAAATACGAAAGCGTTGTTTCCTTTAGATGTAGTTAAGGTAATAGTCACAGATGGTCCTACTTTCGAGTGGTAAGTATATAATACGTCTACAACATTGAACAGTTTAGAATGAAAGCCAGTTTGTGATCAATACTTATTCTGGAAATGGATGATAGTTCCCACCCCTCCCCCACCCCCACCCACCTTTTCATGCCTTTATGTGCATTCCTTGTTTTACATTGGGCAGGGCATAGGTTTTGTGTTGCTGATACATTAAGGTATGACATAATACTAATCAGTTGCTTAATTTACCCTCCTAGCTAAGATGTAGAACCTTGTTCACTTAATTTTGTTGCTCGTAAATTTTTTAATGATATATGAAGGAAAACAAAAACAATTTAACTCTTTTGTTTAGAATAGGAGGAGGAAGGAAGAGCAAAGTTCTAGGCAATCAATTTTCACCATAATATTATTACTTTGCTTTACAATAAAATTATGTGCCTCTTTATATGACCTTTGTATAATATAAAATTTCATCTAAATATACATTTTAGTTTAACTAATTATGCTGTCCCATATGGCTTTATAAGCTTTGATTTGCTGAGAAAGTAGGAAAGGATGCTTGAAAGCCTTGAATACCAGTCCTCTACTTCTCAATGCAGTCCTAGATTAGTGGTCCAGATGCTAGACGATCTTTCATTATGCACATGTTTTGCATCTTTGGTCATATTCCTATTATGCAACTGACATCGATTTTGGTTCTATTTACTTAAGTATAAGACCTTTAAGACAAACCTCAGCACATGTAGTTTCTTATCACCATGTGCAACTGATTCGAATGATTTCTGGCATTCTTATAATTAGAGGTTTGCCTGGTGGTTAATCTGCTATGCTTATGTTGGCCTTGAACTTGTGACTTTCTGATATTAACTGGTTTTTTCTTCTGAACTGTGTGTGGATAATAACTGGAGGTTTGCATCTTTTGCTGATTTTTGTTTCTTTGGATTTGAATATCTCCATTGATTATGATCAAGAAAGAGATGAAGATTTGTCCAATATTGGGATGCTTCATAGTGTTGACAAATGTATTTTTTTTCCAAAATTCAAGAGCTGTAGAAGAATAGAATCTAGCTAGCTATTATTAAATTTTCAACATTCTGTTTGTCTAATATCCACCACTAGCTATTGCATTTGCGGCCATTCCAGCAAAATTGCCGAGTTCATCCTTTCTAACTTTCCTCGATGCACTTGTGTTCCTCTTATAGGCAGTGCCGTGGCAGCAAGCTGAACATGACTTGGCAAGGCAGCAACTTCCTTCAAGCTACTTAATCGATTTTTCTCTTGTTTTTCTACTATCTTCCTCTTTCTTCTTGTCTCTTAGCAAAAGGATCTTGACCAGGCTCATCAGTTTCCTTGGCTTCAATAATTGGCACATCTTTGTCATCATTTATGTGATCATAGCCATGTCTGCGCTTCCATGACCCAGTTTGTTCATCAAAAACAACCTTGTCTTTCTTACGCTTATGTATACCTTTCTTCTTCGCGAACATTTCCCATTTTGTTGGAGGTTTAGAAACTCCATGGATTTGGTTCAATATTCTGAACATCTTTGGTATGTCTGTTGTAGCTTCTGCAACACTGTTCTTGCGGTATTTATTTCTCTATTTCATGCAATGCCCATTTAACTGTCTCTATTAATCTTATATGTTTCTAGTTTTCTGTAAATTGAAGAAGTTTCAATCATGATTTCTATGTATAGTTTCTTGAAAGGGCAAAGAATAGAAAGACAGGAAAGATCAAAAGAAAGCTACTGTGATTGTTTCCTTCTTATATGACCTTTATATATAGCAAGAAGAGAGCAAATCTACTTTGTCAAATCACATGTGCTACAATATATATATATATATATATATATATATACTACTGTTATAACTATCATTTCTCTGATTCTTCACTTTCAACATTCTGTTTGTCTAGCAGGGACAAGGCACTTAAACAGTGGTATCGTTCAAGGATGGTGTCGGGCAAGGAGCAGTTACAAGGCACTTAATATTTTGTCGTTTTTCGGATATGTATATGCGTACAATTATAATGCACAATGAAGTGTCGGGTAATATATATGTAATTGACTTTTTAGTAATGATAATATTTATAATATTCGGCTTGAGAAATTCTTTTAGTGTTTGTCAAGCATTATTGGTTGCTTTACTATTGATAGTTAATATCTCTATATGAAATTTTAGAGAATTAGGTTCCTACTGCATGGAAATGTATATAATTTTGGTCGTTATAATTGTTGAGAAAATAATTTTTAGTGGCGACATAGTTTTGTCAAAAATTTAGTAACTGTTGAGATATTTAAGTTGCCACATAATGTCAACTTCTTTTGCAGCGACTTTAGTCGCTACAGAAAACATTGTGTCTTTCATGGTTAAAACTTTTGTAGCCACTTAAATCGCTACTAAATGACATTTATAGTGGAGACATAATCTTGCCACTGAACATAAATATTTTTTGTGGAAACTTTAGTCGCTACTAAAGAACATTTATAGTGGCGACATAAACTTGCCACTGAACATAAATTTTTTTTGTGCCAATATTAGTCTCTACTAAAGAACATTTATAGTGGCGACATAAACTTGCCACTGAACATAAATTTTTTTTGTGCCAATATTAGTCTCTACTAAAGAACATTTATAGTGGCGACAGTAAGGGTGATTTCTTGTAGTGCTTGAAGCTGGAAGGATCAGCACTCGGGAGCGGGACCAGATACGCCTGAATATGCATACAGGGTGAAGGGAGTAAAGTGATTACTCTAATTAAGTGAGTAACAAATGTAAATACAGACAGCAAAAAATCACATAAGGCACAAAGCATTCTATAATGAAGCAGTAAAACTATTTCAAAATAGTAAATCAGTGAAAGACACGTAAAAATCCTTTAACTCAAATGTAATTTCATGAAAAGACCTTTTTCAACAATTTAGCAGGTAATTGACAGACAATTAAGGAAAGTAAACACATAAAGGTTCACCCCTCGTGCACTTTATCAACAAAACTGCCCCTCGGGCAACATTTCAGAACAATATCAGCCTCTCGGGCTCAATCTCACATCACAATGGGTACCGCGCTCACTAGGGGTGTGCAGACTCCTGAAGGGGCCCCATACGGCCCAAACGCAATATCAAGCTATCTCATGGCGTCATCACTAGGTTCTCGGCCTCATATCAATCAAGTCACCTCGTGGCATACATATCTCAGGCCTTCGGCTCAAATCTGTATCAGTGTTTCCTCACAACATAGGCCCTCGGCCTTACTCAGTAAACAATCCTCACAAGCCACTCGGGCAATAGTAAAACAGTCATTCTCAGCCCAATTATCATTTAAAAAGATCATTTAGGTATTAAAACTGAGTAAACATGACTGAGTAGGAAAACAATAGAAAATAGCATGACTGAGTTCAAATATAAAGTCAAAACAGTAAGGAAATATCAATAATAATTCCCGAAGGGTTCAAATAGTTGGCACGAAGCCCAAATATGGCATTCAACCCAAATAATGATGATAACAAATAGATTTCAATCAAATACGCGGTAAAATCATTAGTCAGGACGGACCAAGTCACAATCCCCAATAGTGTCGACCCCACGCTCGTCATCAAACATGTGTCTTACCTTAATATAGCATTACCATGTGCAAATCCGGGGTTTCAAACCCTCAGAACATCATTTACAATCATTACTCACCTCGAACCGGTCAAATCTCTAACTCATGACACCTTTACCCCTCGAATCGGCCTCCACTCGCGTTGAATCTATCCAAAATCAGAATGAGGACGTCAAAATATGCTAAGGGAACGAAGCCTAAGCGAAAACAATCAAAATATGACACAAATTCCGAAATGACCAAAACCCGACCCCCGAGCCCACGTCTCGGAATTCAATAATTTTTACATCAATAGATTTCTTATCTCCCCACGAGCTCATACATATCAAAAGTTCTGAAATCCGACCTCAAATGGTCCACCAAACCCTCAATCAAAGGTCTCCAATACTAAGCCCTAGTTTTCCCAAATTTTCACCCTTAATTTCCATGATTTCTAGCTCTAATCCGCGAAATAATAGCATAGGAACGAGTTTTAAGTCCAGATTCCTTACCTCAATGAAGTTCTCTTGAAATCCATCTTTCAAATTGTCCAAAAAGCTCCAACGATGAAGATAAAAATGGTGAAATAGCTCAAAATTCGCGAAGGCCACAATTTATACTTTCTGCCCAGGCATTTTCGCATATGCGGCACATAACCTCTTCTGCGGTTCTTCACTTAACAGACCAAAATCACACCTACGCTCAACATTCCGTACCTGCGGCTTCGCAGGTGTGGTCCCACTACCGCATCTGTGGTTTTTGACAACTCTTCAATAATCCGCTTCTGTGGCTCCTCTTCCGCATGTACGGCGTCGCACCTGCGGTCCCCAATCTGCAGGTGCGAAAATACTAGAAGCAACAAAAGTTCAGCAGCTGCAAACATTCCTCAAACTCCCCGTCAACCATTCGAATTCACCCCGAGGCCCCCGGGACCTCAACCAAAAGTACAAACATATCCTAATACCTTATTCAAACTTGTTTTAATCTTCAAAGCACCTCAAACAACATCAAATCTACCAAAGCACATCAGATTCAAGCCAAACATTCCAAAATCTTCCGAATTCCGCTTTTGATCAAAAACCCAATCAAACCGCGTCCGAATGACCTTAAATTTTGTACACACATCCCAAATGACCCAACGAAACTACTGCAACTCTTGGAATTCCATTCCGACCCCTATATAAAAATCTCACCTACCAACCGAAAATCACCAAAGTATCAACTTTGCCAATTCAAGCCTAAATCTACTCTGAACCTCCAAAACTCATTCCGATCACACTCCAAAGTGCCAAATCACTTCCCAAAGCTATCCAAACCATCAAAACTCACATCCAAGCCCTCTAACACATAAGTCAACATCGGGTTGACTTTTCCAACTTAAGCATCCTAAAAGAGACTAAGTGTCTCAAACCTTACCAAAATTATTCCGGATTTGATCCGACCAACCCGATACCACTTAACATGATAAACAAAGCATAAAATAGCAGAAATGGGGGAAACAGAGCGGTAACTCATGAGACGACTAGCCGAGTCTTCACATCCTCCCTAACTTAAACAAACGTTTGTCCCCAAACAAGTCAAGAAACATACCTGAAACCTCAAACAGGTATCGATATCTGCTCTGCTTCTCCCGCTCGGTCTCCCAGGTAGCCTCCTCCACTGGCTGACCTCTCTACTACACTTTGACCGAAGCTATATCCTTTGACCTCAACTTCTGAATCTGACGACCTAAAATAACTACTGGCTCCACATCATAAGTCAAATCATCATCCAACTGAACCGCGCTAAAATCCAGAACATGAGACGGATCCCCAATATACTTCCAGAGCATAGAAACATAAAATTCCGGACGCACACTCGACAAGCTGGGTGGAAAAGCAAGCTCATAAGCCACCTCCCCAATCCTCCGAAGCACCTCAAAAGGTCCAATGAACCGCAGAGTCAATTTCCCTTTCTTCCCAAATCTGATAACACCCTTCATGGGTGAAACCTTCAACAGAACCTTCTCACCAACCATGGAGGACACATCTCGAACCTTCATGTCAGCATAACTCTTTTGCCTCGACTGCGCTGTACGAAGCCTCTCCTGAATCACCTTCACCTTCTCCAAAGCATCATGCACCAAATCTATCCCCAATAGACTAGCCTCACCGGGCTAGAACCAACCAACTGGAGATCTACACCGCCTCACATACAAAGCCTCATATGGAGCCATCTGAATACTCGACTAGTAGTTGTTGTTATAAGCAAACTCTGCAAGCGGTAGAAACTGATCTCATGACCCTCCGAAATCAATGACACAAGCACGCAACATGTCCTCCAATATCTAAATAGTGCGCTCGGACTGCCCGTCCGTCTGAGGATGAAATGCTGTGCTCAACTCAACCTGAGTACCCAACTCTCGCTGCACTGACCTCCAAAACTGCGATGTAAACTGAGTGCCCCTATCTAAAATGATGGAAACTGGGACACCATGCAAATGAACAATCTCTCGGATATAGATCTCTGCCAACCACTCTGAAGAAAGCGGAGTACACACAGGAATGAAGTGCGTGGACTTGGTCAGCCGATCCATAATCACCCAAATAGCATTGAACTTTCTCAAAGTACGTGGAAGTCCAACAACAAAGTCCATAGTGATCCTCTCCCACTTCCACTCGAGAATATCCATCTATTGAAGCAAGCCATGCGGTCTCTAATGCTCATATTTCACCTGCTGACAATTGAGACACCGAGCTACATATCCCACAATATCTTGCTTCATTATTCTCCACCAATAGTGCTGCCTCAGATTTTGATACATCTTCGTGACACCCGGATGAAGGGAATACCGCGAGCTATGGGCGTCATCCAGAATCAACTCTTGAAGCCCATCCACATTGGGCACACAAATTCGGCCCTGCATCCTCAACACCCTATCATCACCAATGGTCACATCTCTGGCAACATCATACTGAACTCTGTCCCTAAGGACAAGCAAATGCGGATCATCATACCGGTGCTCTCTGATGCGATCATATAAAAAAGACCGAGAAACCACACAAGCCAATACCCAACTGGGCTCCGAATTATCCAACCTCACGAACCGATTGGCCAAGGCCGGAACATCAACCACAAGAGGTCTCTCCCCAACTGGAATATATGCCAAACTCCCCATACTCACTGCCTTTCGGCTCAAGGCACCGACCACCACATTGGCCTTTCTCGGATGGTACAATATAGTCATATCATAATCCTTAAGCAACTCCAACCATATCTGCTGCCACATAACACGGATAAACAAATCATAAAGAAGCAGAAATAGGGGAAATGAAGCGGTAACTCATGAGACAACTGGCCGGGTCGTCATAAATTTGCATGAACGCCTTTTCACACTTAGTGACTCCTTCCAGATGCACATATGTGGGAAGTTCAAGAATATGGCAAATATAATTCAGAGGTCCGTACAAGGTAGTAATGTAAGGGGCTCGTATTGTCGCTTCTGTGAATCAGTTGAAGACATAGTTATGGTTGATGTGTATAGTGAAGGTTGATGTGTAT